GTGTGTTGGAGCACGCCCTGTCGCGCGCGCAGCAGCCAGACAGTCCCGACCGGCCGCACGCAATGCCCGTGTGGGCTGCCGCCCAACCTCCGTGCCCATGCCGGCGCCGGGGAAGCCGCAGAGGGGCGGCCTCGGCCGGCCGGCGGGCGCTTTCGGAGCCCGGCGCGGGATCGCCTTCAGATGCTGCCGGACTCGGGCAGCCGCGCCCTAGTGTGACCTGCGCTTTCCGCACCCCTGTCCCGGGCCAGCGGTCCCCGTGGGGCGCCGCAGCCGGGGTGCCAGCAGGTGCCCGCGGGGCGGCCGCGGGCTCACGGGGCAGCAGAAGCAGCGGAGCGCTTAGCGATCGGCGCGGTGTGGGCGCCAACTGCCTGCGCCCCCGCGGCCCGGGCTGAGTTCACCGACGTACCCCCGGAGCGCGCAGCCTGGCTCCCCCGCCCGGGCCTCCCGCGTTTGGTGCCTGCACTCCCACCCTGCGCGCACACGGGGGTTGTCTCCTTAGCTCCTACTAAACAGTGTATTCACTTTAATTACTCGAACACTTGATCACGTAACTAACATCAGTGCCTATTAAATAACCGCTTGTCTTTGCAGCGAGGCCGGCCCGGTCTGCCGTCTGACCACCTCCTTCCCTCACCCCTTCCCTGCTGGCGGGGGCGTCCAGCGCCCTTCCCCAGGGGAGGTTCCGAGAGCGCGGCGGCCTCTGTCGTGCTCACGGATCTGCCCCCAGCACTCGGGGCACCCGGTGACACGGTGACACGTGCTCGGCCTCGTCACCCTCAAGTGAGCACCTTGAGGCACATCCAACAGGCGGCATCCCCGGGGATGAACTGGCAGGGGGCATGCTGTCCCCGCCCTTTCTCAGAAGCTTAATGTGTCCCCTTATGTTACATATTTTCATTTTATTTTAAAGATTGATTTATTTGAGGGGGGAGGGGCAGAGGGAGAGGGAGACAGAGAATCTCAAGCAGACTCCCTACTGAGCCCGGAGCCCGACGTGGGGCTCGATCCCAGGACCCTGAGATCATGACCTGAGCAGAAACCACGAGTAAGAGACTCAACCGACTGAGCCACCCAGGCGCCTCACGTATTTTCACTTTAATGTTGCTTTTATTGTGGGGAAAGAACAGAATCAAAATTGATGCAAAAGAGAGCAAATTATTTGTTAACAGTGCTTTTTATTTGTATGGGGATTTTTACTTTTAAAAACATTTTCCTCTTTATTTTTCATTTAATTGTAGAAACATCAGACTAATGGGTAAGCTTTAAAAAAGCAAAATTAAATTAAAATCGCCCTGAATCCTCATTCACAGGAGACCAGACTCAGCCCCTTCCAGGCTGTCCCAGTGCGCTTGTACAGAAAACGTCCACATTTCTTTACCGCTAAATGCAAACAGTGGTAAAGCAGTGCAGTGATTAGCAAAGGGTGAGTTTTGAGCATTCATTAATTAGCTGCTACCTAATCCATTAATTACCAGTCTCTGGTAATTGGTCTCTGCAGCCAGTTTTCCACTTGGTTTATTATGAGCATCCTTCAGAAACGTCAGCCCTAAATCATAAAGCCCACCTTATAACTAGTGGCTGCACTGTCTCCCTGCACCTGATACCCCAGTCCACCTGGCCAGTGGCCCGTTGGCGTCCAGGTCCTTCCTGTGTCTTCCTGCTCATGCCGCCCTCACCCAGCCCAGCAGGCCAATGGGGGCTACATCATCGTCCCTTCTTCCACGCGGGATCTCGAGCAGGGCCGCTGCGTCACTGCCCTCTACACAACTTCCACGTGGGAGTGGGCGCGGCGTGTGCTCAGGAAGACGGTGAGGGACCCACGGATCCCAGGGGCTCAGAGGAACTGTCCTGAGTTGGGTGAATGTGCCGAGCGCTGGGGCAGCACACGGGACAAGACCAGTGGGCAGCTCTCAGCTGGTGCTTACGCACCCCTCCAAATTTTGCTCATTGGAACGGACCCCAGACCTTCGAGGGGACCAAGGGGAGAACTAGAAAGGAGAGAAAACCCAGCCACACTGCAGTGGTGGAACACTGTGTCTTTTATTGAGAACATCTCCAATCCTTTGTCTATAGGACAGCGTCTCATGCTTGGTTCCGGCTGGTCTCGGTGCGAGGGGTAGCTCATGCAGATTGTAACGTGTGGTATATACATCAACAAACATACAGAGGACACTGGGGAGTGGATCTGAGCGATAGGGTTCTTGGCTGAATTACATTCATATGAAGTGTCCAAATTCTAAAATAAAATAAAATAAAAGCATATAACCCAGTATCTGGAGAAGCAAACTGCTTCCGGGCTCATTCTACAAACATTCCACAGACTGCCTTTAAACATTCGTGGTCACGTCCAGAAGGACGGGCGTCGGCTCCTGATGTACCATCAGCCCATGGCGTGGCCAAGCTAAGTGTTTTGGGGGCTGGGGGCTCACCCCTGCAAACAGGGAACAAGTGCACACAGCAGCTCCAGAGGACAGCTACGTGTCAGGTTCGAGCCAGACCCTGTCCTTGCCGGCCCTGAGGACGTGACTGGCCACGTGGCTGGAGAGAGGGTCACAGGACACGCCAGGGGACAAGGGCAGACAACACTGGACATGCGTGCGTGCGCGGTCACAAATACTCTGCCCTTTCCACTTACATAGTTGGGGGTTGATAACAGGGAATCTTTTGAGAGATTCTCTAATTTCATAGATTACAGAGACGGGAAAGCCAGCTGATTCTATTTCTCTTGCTAGATCAAATTTACGGCCGGGGTAGACCCTATACTTTGGTGTAGAATGTTTCAGAAATAAAAAGGACCGGTCTGATTTGGTTTTGTGTTTTGAGAAAAAGGGGCGGGCATGCAGCCCTCCCCCCCAGCATTCACTGACCCCACCCTCAGGTCTATCCCCCTTGTGGAGCCTGAGAGCTGCCCCCTCCCCAGCGTCACTATGTGAAATTACAGGAAACACGTCTTTCCAAAGAAAGCAGTGATTCTGTCTTCTGGGCATGAGGGAAATCATGTGAATAAAAATACTTCCAGAGAAATGAATGGCTGGTGAGATGCTGCACATTTTAAAATAACTGTTTCTGATTAAATGAGTCAATCAAACTCTGATTCAGAATCAGAATTGCACCCTGGGGCATCCCTGGCCTGGGAAGAGGGGACGCCCCTCACTGGGCTCATACTGCTGCAGGGACAGCCCCTGACCCCGGCTGAGGCATCCCTGTGACTCGGGCCTTCCACTGGCGGGAGAGATGCCCGCCAGCCGGTGTCTTTGTGGAATAGGTTTAGTGAGCAAAACAGAAGGGAACCCTCCCAACCCCCAATGGTCAAAATGTCCTCAAAGTTGAAGATTTTTCTCAAAAAATCAAGTTCTTGATTGTGTCAAATTTTCTAAGTCTCTAGAATCCTGATTAAGGGCACTGTATGCAAAGTAACGCCTGGGGGGAAATGGGGTGCAGTGCACAGAGCCTCAGAAGGGACCGTTTCAAGTGCTGAGTCTCCTGACCCGTCTCCTGGAGGTCACGTTTCTGTCTCTGTTCTGCTCCAGTGGTCCGTCCTGGGAGCTGTGCGGGCCCACAGGTGGACGGGGCTCCCTCCTGACCCGCCTGCAGGGCCTGGACACTCGCGGGCCGTCCTGCGCCCGCACAGCTCGGGGTCCGCTGGGGACCGGCACACAGGACAGCTGTCCTCACTTGGGGTGGGAGGCGGTGCTCACCTCAATTGTTAGCCGACAGAGGGAGGAAGTCAGACATACTGGGTAGTGTGTGTATATGCAATACATTCCCACTCAACTTTTAATTAAAATCCACATATTTTTTTAAAAACTAAGTCCATCTCCCAATCCCCATTAGAAAAAATACCATTTATCGAGAGAATAAAAACACAGGGGCTCACAGATGTTCTGTGTGTGGGAGCACCTGCTTGGGGAGGTGGCGACACCAGCTGACACCCTTCCTGCTTCAGGCGGAAAGAAGGCGGCAGCCCGTTGAGCCAAACCACACCCCTCCACATGACGGGGGCCTGCCTGAGCTCTGCCGGGGTCCCTGCAGCCCGCCAGCCCCGCCCCCGCCCCCCAAGGAACCGCTGCCGGAGCGGGGGAGCGGGGGACACAGCGCTTCTGGTCTGAGTCTCCTGCTCCTGCACGTGGGGTCTGGGCCAGGTGACAGCCGCGGCTCTGCTCCTGTTCTGCGTTTTCAGAGTCCGTCAAGGTGGGGCGGGGTCTCCCGACTGCCTACAGCCGCCACAAGACCCCCCCTTCCATGAAGACGGCCCCTCGGGCTCCTGTCTGATCCTGAGTGGAAGCAACAAGGCAATCGGTGCAAATCTCTGAGCTCAGGTCCAGGTGCCCCCCGGGACCCTTGCCCGCACTCCTGACCGTCTGCTGGCTCAGCCCGGGACCACCCCGGGGGCCATGGGGTGTGGAGCAGCGCCCCTGGGCCGCCCCGGGCACCAGCAGCACCCCTCCCTGCCGTGACAATCAACGTCCAGACCCTGGTGGGCACGAGGCCGCGGCACACTGCCTCACCAGCTTCCAGCCTGAATACTGACTTTCAAACATGTCTTTGATAAAGCTGGAAAGAATAATTTAAAACTATGCCTTAGTGGCATTTTCTAAGAACGAGTCTATCTACTTAATTAATTCTATTTCCTTCCCGTGAAGATGTCTGGAGAGTTATCCGCATCCATGAGATTCAGAGCAAGGAAGACAGGGAGTTGTAGGCTGATTCTTGGGCAGTAGCCCCTACGGATTCCTCCTAGTCCCTAAAAGTTAAATACTGTTGAAGACCTCAAATGAATGGCCAGGATCACTGCCCATGTTTTATCTCTGATTACTGAGAAGTGAACCAACACGCGTTTTCCATGTGATTCTAGGAGGAGTGCAGAAGCTTCTAGGGGGGCTGAAGGCTGCAGGGATCTGGGCCGTGCCCTCATGGACGCACGCCGTCACTGTGCCAGGGAGTTGGGGGACTCGTGCGAGCGCAGGGCCGGGCCCCTCCCGCGGGGTCTTCTCCCGGGCTGTGCGGACCCGCTGAGGGAAGCCAATCGCGCGGCCCATCCGGGGGACCCGCCAGCAGCGTGGCTGTGACTTCAGGCTTCTTCCTACCTCTACCTTCTCACCTTCTCTACAGATAAGCGCTCTTCTGCATTAAAATAACGTGGCCTAAGAGTGACTTGATATAATTACTTTATAAACCACGTTCCTAACGCTGAATAAATTATTTATTCAAAAATTTCAGACAAAGTAATTTCTATTTCCCTAAACTTAAGGAAGCCCTACTCAGTAGAACTCAATTTCTAAACGTAAACAGAGATAGAAAGCAGTCACTGGGTAATTCCAAGGGGTAACACTGCTGCAGAGGGACATCGAGTGGTGATGCTGGACCCCACGCCCTCCCTGCCCTCCCTGCCCTCCCCAAAGTGCACGCCCGCCCCCAGCTGAGACGTGAGGCTCCGGAGACCGCGCCGGACGCCCAGCACCCCGCGTCCCCACCCCTGCCCCCAGTTCAGACGTGAGGCTCCGGAGACCGCGCTGGACGTGGGCAGCCTCCGCGCCACGCCCCCGGTCAGGGTGTGAGAGAGAACTGATCCTGCTCCGTGGGCTTCTCCACCCAGGCGCCCAGCCCTGCCTTGATGAACGCTTTGAACAGACACGCCTTGGCGGCCTGGTACTCCTTTGCTACCAGTTTGGATTCATGGTACACATTGGGCTTAGTGATCTTGGAGCGTAGTAAGTTGGAGGGAACCTGTAAAAAGTCAAAACACAAGGACAAGTGTCGAAGCAGTCACAGAAGAAAACAAAACTCAGTAAGACATTCAAAATTTGGTGTCTCATCCTGTGCTGGCTTCTGGGGGGAAAGCCACCAGCCAGAGGCGCCTTCCTCCGGGGGGCTGCGACGCCGGGGCGAGGCGTGAGCCCCATGATGGTCTGCGTGCTCTCCCCATGCAGGCTCCAGGCCAAACAGGCAGTTTCAGACCCCAGGTTCTAAAGAGGTGCTTCTGAACCCACAAGCAGTTGATTCCAATTTCAATGTGAATATTTTCAGCTATTTAAAAACACAGCACCTCTGATGTTATGGACACTTTATCACCTGGAAGGACCCAGAGGCACTGCCTCCCGTGGCTGCCTGACTCATTTGGTGCAGATCTTGAGAATAAATACGGTGCAAGACCACTAGCCCAGGGGCTCGTCCTGCCATGGGCCCAGGGCCCCGAACTCAGCAGCTTCTGTCCAAACCGCCACCTGCCACGACCGATAAAGGAAAACTAGGAAAATGCCAATTGACCAGAGGAGAACTTATGCAGGGAAAGGACCCTGACACTACCGCAGAAAACAGGCCTCGAGCCTTCTGAGGGCTGCGTGAGCCCCGGCTCTCCTTCCTCTGGGTGGGAAGGCGCGGAGGGGTTCCCAGCGGGAAGCCGGGTCAGGGCGGGAGGAGCGGCCTGAGGCTGCTTCACGTGGGAAGGTCGGGGCCACACTTCAAGATGGAAACAGCCAGGAGAAACAGAAAGGTTGGGGCGTGACCGTGTGGACGGTGCGGGGCTTTAGTGGGACGGGCTGTGGGGAGGTGGGGCCGGTACCTTGCCGTGCACACGCATCCAGCGACAGTACAAGGCGTGCTTACACAGGCGGGACGCACGGCCCAGCTCGTCCTTCCCTGTCGTGGCGTTGATGACCTCGATGGCCGCGTCACCCACCGTCCAGTTGACGCTGAAGTTGGGTGCCTTCCCCGGCTGCCGTGCTTCCGCGTTGCTGATGCCTGGAACGGAGAGACACGGGAGAGGTGATGCGGAGCCCAGCATGGTACTCGGCGCAGCTGAGGACGTGCCTGAGGGGTGTGCACGGCCCAGGTGTGCTCACACCTGTCCAGTGCCACCTCGTGATGCCCAGAAACAGCCGTGACTGTGCCCGGGAGGCGGGCAGGGGTCCACAGAAACCTGGAGCCTGTGAGACATCACAGCACCTCTGAGCTCTGTTGGGGTTAACAGAGCTGGAGGTCTGGGTGTGCGAGCCACTTCTGGGGTTAATTCAGGTCCCATAGGGTTGTGCCACGGAGGACCGCCCTCGCGCATCACACCTCGGCTGGGCGCTCATGCCCTGCACGCCCCACACGCCAGGGGCAGGCATGGTCAGGCTAACCCAGCCTGCACGCACTACGCCCAAGATACAAGAAGCCTGACTTAACAAGCACAGATATGTTTTCTTTTCTTTTTTTTTTAAGATTTTATTTATTTATTTGACAGAGAGAGACACAGCGAGAGAGGGAACACAAGCAGGGGGAGTGGGAGAGGGAGAAGCAGGCTTCCCGCCGAGCAGGGAGCCCGATGCGGGGCTCGATCCCAGGACCCTGGGACCATGACCTGAGCCGAAGGCAGATGCCCAACGACTGAGCCACCCAGGAGCCCCATGGATACGTTTTCTTACCACATTGAGATGGTTTTGTCTTAACTAACCAAGTCTCACTTGGTGGGGCTAAGAGATTTTTAAAGGACACTCAGATAACTGGGAGCTGAGTGCTCACCTCCCCCCATCGGTGCCCTGAGCGCGATCATCCACACCTCGGGCGGGGGCACACGGGCCACCCTGACTCGGGGTGTGTCTTCAGAACACACCCACAACGGGAGCTGGCTGGTGCTTGGTCCCCAGAGGAGGAGCCCCCCCCCCCCCGGCTCTGCACAGCCAGCCTGCCACTCCCTGATGGCCAGGGGCGCTGACCGAGCTCCGCGGGGCTCCCACCCCGGGCCCTTGCTCTGCTTCTGCTCTGGGTGACTGTGACCCCGCCTTGAACAGAAAGCCAAGACCGACAGGTGGGCCAGCAGGCCGGTTCAGAGTGTGGAAGATCTAATAGGAAGCTTCCTCATGGAGGAGACCCCAGTTCTTCAGGCAAAGCAGCCACCCACCTCAAAGTAGGGTGAAAATTCATATTTATATGTCACCCATGTCTGGGATATTTATTTAAAGGGACAAGAAGGTGTTTTCCTTTGTTAAGTCCCTAAGACAGAGCTCCCATCCCGCAGAGGGCACTCAGGGCCAGAGGCCGAGCACCCGCTTGTGGCCGCACTAAGGACGGCGGGAGCCCCGGCCCTCTGCTTCAGGCTCCAGACTCACTGTTCATCTGCCTTCCCACCGTGTCCACCCGATGCCTGCAGGCGTCTCTGCTCCTCACTGCAGGGCCAGGCACTCACTGGTGCTGGTTCGTGCCCCCTGCACTCTCCGGGAGCTCCTCTGCAGTCCCTGCGATGCCCCGGGGGCCATCCTCGGTACCTGCCGGCCCCCAGCAAGACCCCTCACTCTGGGGAAGAAGTCAGGATTCTGCTGATCACTCTTTCATTCCGACACACGAGCAGTGAATTACTCTACTTCACACAGACCTTTTCACTGACACGTCACCAAGCATGAGGGCACAGCCTCAGGGCTCCCTCTCTCGCTGTGTCTTTTGCGAAGTGAGCACACCCATCACCAGTGTCCCAGCAGCTGGTCACCAACCAGAGCTCCCGGTTTGGGAGCCCGCCCACCTCCATGGCCACCCCTGCCCCACGTGGGTCATCACGGCACCAACCCCAGCACACTGACCAGGGTTGCCCGCTTTGAGCCTCATATCCATGGGGCCATTTACACAACGGACTCCCCTGCGCCTTCACCCTTCACTCGAGGTCACGTGTGTGAGAGTCACACGCATCACGCACAGAGCTGTGGCCTGCCCAAACTTCTTGCCACGCAGGACCCTACTGGGGCACGTGCAACTAGAGGGTTGCTCACTTTGTCGTGTTTTCTAGCACTTGGCTGTTCTGAAGAGTGTGTGTGTGAGCATTCCTGACCACATGTTTTGGTGACTCATGGACATATTTCTGGATACACACTAGGCGTGCAACAGCTGGGGATGGATACACAATGTCACGCAGAAGCACTGAAAACACCAGGCAAACCAGGTGAAGTTGGCTAGAAATGTTTTCTACTTAATCACATATAAATGTTACATGAAACATAAAACAAACACAGCACTAGGGTCTGGTGATAAGCAGGGAATAATTAACCAATTAGCTAACTCACCACATAGTTCAAGAAGCCACTTAAAACACAGGAAAATCAGGGGCCCCTGGGTGGCTTAGTCCTTAAGCATCTGCCTTCGGCTCAGGTCATGATCCCAGGGTCCCGGGATCGAGTCCCGCATTGGGCTCCCTGCCCGGTGGGGAGTCTGCTTCTCCCTCTGACCCTCCCCCCTCTCAGGCTCTCTCATTCTCTCTCTCTCTCAAAAATAAATAAAATTAAAAAAAAAAAAACACCACAGGAAAATCAAACTACAGTTACAAACCAATTCAACAAAATTGCCTTCCTAAAAAGAAATCCCATTGGCTGGGACGGTCCCTGAAGTTTGGCACAGTGAGGAACGTTCTCACGAACCACGGCTGCTTGGGCCACGGCCGCCATCCTGTGGCCCGCGCTGCTCACATAGCCCCTGATAGGTATGGCATGTGTTTCTTCTTCCATTTGTCAAGATAAAACACAATTTTAAAGGGTCTGGGTGGGATATCACTCACGGCTTTTGGTTAAATTTTGATAAAACTGTCCTGTCAATAAGCAAAGAGCAACAAGATCTAGGTAAGTCCACCAGAGAGGCCAGAGCTGACCAGGTGAAGGGGAACCGGGGCTTGAGGGCATCAGGAGTGACACATGGCCCACCTACAGCTCCATTTCCCAACACAAAAAGGATCAGGAAGACAGGGCCATCACATATTTTTTAAAGGTTTTAAATCTCCATTTAATGCTGATCTTGCTGAAACAGGCAACGAGATGTGTGTGGCCGCTCCTCCCGGGACGGATCGGCAGCAGGGCTCAACCCAACACCCTGGTCACACCCCCTCCATCACGTGGCTGTGGCTCTCCATACACAAGCCCCTCGGCCCCCCACCCCCCAGCAGGCAGAGTGACGGACGGCAGACACCAGAGTTCTGGTGTGTCACACAGCCCGCAGGCCCCCAGTCAGGGCTCGCAGGGGGGACCAGTCCTCTGTGGACACAGACATGCAGTAGTTTCTCCTGCAGTCAAAGCCACCTTTCCTGTCAGACTTTCCTTCTCATCTATTCTGCTGCTCTCAGTTCACGCTTGCCAAATAAAGCACCTTAAATTCTCTCAGTCTCTGCGGTCTAGGGAGCCCAGACCAAGACATGGGGCTGTCATTCCAACTTCCAACCAAAACCAATCCTGAACAACCAGCTGGCTTGGATGACCAGGTGCACAATCACGTCTAGATTGCAAAAGCATCTATTTTGGAGGGTAACACAGAGGGACAAGTGTTTAAGAATGGGCATTCTGTGATTTAAAAATAAGTTCAGACTTCGTTTCCAGGTGAGATGGAGTAACAGCTGCTGGATGTACCCTCCTTACTCAAATAGTAGTAAACCAGACAAAATACAACAGACACTAGCCTTCAAGTCCCTGGACATCAAGCAAGGAAGGGCAGTGGTTTCTGAGAGACAGGAGACATAGGAGGTGAGTCCCACGAGTGCCCCAGGCGGCCGTCCTGGGGGCGTCCAGGCAGCAGTGTGGAGAGAAGGAGCCCAGGCACAGCCTGCAGACTCCCTGAACTGAGAGCTCAGGAAACTAACGTGGCCAGAGTCCATAGGATGGTGCGCAGAGGCAAGAGAGCTGCAGAGGGTCCCCTGAGCATCAGCAGAGGGCTGATCAGAGCACACACACTGCTTAAGACTGGGCAAGAACCACCTGAAAGGGTCAGAGAACATGCCCCATGCTCACACAGAGATGTGAAGAGTTTAGATACACACTTGATGGCATCAACCATGACACAGAAAGGTCTAGAATAGAAAAAAGATCAGTGAACTTAAAGAAACAATAACAGAAACGATTCAAATGAGACACACAAGAAACAGACTGGAAAAAAAAAAAAAGAAAACCCAGCAAATCAGTGAGTTGTCAGACAAATCAATCAGCCTGACACACGTGACTGGGTTCCTGAGGAGGGGAGAGAGAAGGGGGTACAGAAAACATGAATAAAAACTCAACAGACTTTTATGAGATCAATAAATGGACAGATCTAAGAATCTCAATGAAGCCCAAGCATGAGAAATGTGCAGAAAACTACACCAAAGCATGTCACGACAAACTGCTCCATGCCAATATAAAGAGAAAATGTCGAGCCCGGCCAGAGGAAAAGAACCACATATAAAGGAACAAAGATGAGACGGCAGATTTCTTACTGCAAAGAGTGCACACAGTACGACAGGGAGCAACATCTTCAAAGTGCTAAAAGGAGAAGAAAAGAAAACATTGCCATCTCAGCAAAAATGTATTTGCCCAGAAATATATATATTTGAAAAAGGAATGCAAACTAAAGGCTTTTCCAGACATACCGAAGCTGAAAGAATTCATCACCAGAAGACTTGCACCGCAAAGAATGTAAAAGGAAGTCCTTCAGGCAGAAGGACACGATAACAGACAGAAATGAGGATCTACTTACAGGAATAAGGAGATCAGAAGTGGCAAATCTCTTTTTTTTTTTTTCTGAAGATTTTATTTATTTATTTGAGAGAGAGTGAGAGCTAGAGAGGGAGAGCACACATAGAAGGAGAGGGGGAGGGAGAAGCAGGCTTCCCGCAGAGCAGGGAGCCCAACGCGGGGCTCGATCCCAGGACCTGGGATCATGACCTGAGCCGAAGGCAGACGCCTAACACCTGAGCCACCCAGGGGCCCCAAAGTGGCAAATCTCTTTAAAAGCTAATTGGCTATCAATATAACACTATC